TCGCCTCATCGTTAGCCGACCACTTGCGCAGCGGAAAGCCGCCCGCCGCACAGAGTTCCGTTAGCTGCTGCCGAAGGGCCATAGCCTCTTCGAGGGTGTCGGCGCCCGAAAGTACCTCGTCCATGTAGCGAGCGCCGAGCAGCGCTAGAGCGGCCAGCGGGAAGCGTTCCTTTTCGTCTTCGGCTAGCTGAAGCAAAGCACGAATAGCCTGGAAAGGAGAACAGGTTAGCCCGTAGGTAACGGTGTTGAGAATATACTCCCGTATCTTCTCGTCTGTGTGGTACCGCCACAAGATCCGCTGAAGATCACGATCTTCCTCGTGAACCAGAATCTGGCGGTACATTTTTTCCACGTCCGTGGCAAGGACGTAACGGTAACGACGCCAGCGCAGCAGCACGTCCGCTAGGGCCGGCAGCAGATTCGGTCCCGCCCGTAGGTACCGATTTAGTGAGTCGCCCGAAGGAAGCGCCGCCGAGCCGTTGAACACCACGCGCAGCTTCGTCGAGGAGCTTGCCTCCCGCATGACGCCATGGTGTGGGAGATAACACACTCGGCTTTTCGCGATCTTGTCCGGCGCGACGGGGGTCATGTGGCCGAGTTCCTCGTACTGCCGCATGAAGTCGACGTACAGGCTCTTCAATTTCTCGTCGCGGGAAAGCCGCCTTTCCATCTGAGTTAGCACCCGTAGCGCGTAGTTACGCGTTCCCCGGAGATCGGGCAGCGGATTTACGACGGGGAGTCTCACGACGAATCGGCCCTCCGCGGTACGCGAATGGGTTCGTGCAAAAAAGTCCTCGGCCTCCTGCTCCTCCCTGGTTAGCGCGGGAGGGCCGACGGGCAGTTCCTCCTGCCGCCAGAACCCCTGCACCAGAGCGGAGAGCTCCGCGTCAACGTGGCACTGGTGCGCTACTGCGGCCTCCGGATTCGCCACCGCTCCGGCGGCTCCGGAGATGATCCACCCTAACGCCGTCTTCTGGGCCACAGGCTCGTGTGCCCCGCCCTTGAGCAGTCCCGGCTGGAGGATCTCGGCGACGACATCGGCGCCCAGCAGGAAATCCACCGGGTCCGAGCCTAGAAATTCGGGATCTGCGAGCTCCAGCCCGCGGAGATGCGTCCACGCCTCTTTATCCGCACGGATCCCTCCACCGTAAAGGGAGAGCCGAGGGAGTATTAAGGCCGACACGGCGATCGACGGCCCTCCTCCCCGGGGTGAGATTTCGAGGGTCACCAGGCCTCGCGCACGAGCCGTCCGCTTCCCGCCAACACCGAATACCGCGACCGAGGCGGGTGCGCGGGACAGTTTTAGGCGCTGCACCAACGATTCCGCGACGAGCGATGACTCGGAACCCTGGTCGATTAGAGCTCGCGCGGTACGCTCGATGCCGAACCGATCACGCACGCGGACACGGGCGGTGGCGAGGAGCACAGCCACTGCGTTCTCGGAAGGTCCTTGCGCGAGATGCGAAGTTGTGGCGACCTCGGTTCCTTGATACGCGTCGTGCAGGCTCGAATGGTGTCGGCCGTCACACACTGAGCAATTTCGTTTCGAATCACACTCGTTTAATTTGTGTTTTCCGAGGCAATTGAGGCAGAGATTATTTGCCTCGACGTGCTGTTTTCGTTCCGCGGCGGTTTTCCCCTTATACGCGGCGCAAAACATAATAAAATGTCCCTTTTGGCATACGGAGCAGCGACCGAGTCGGTTTTCCTTTGCCTTTGCATGCAAGGCTCGCGTTTGCTGCGCGGAATTCCCCCCGGCCTTCGCGGAAGTCGCGTTCTCTGGTTTCGCCGGCTGGAGCGATTCGAGAGTATGCAGGCGTCGGTCCAGAAACTGCTGCAACACGGCGAACGACGGCGGATCCGGCGTTTCGCTGACAGCGTTCTCCCACTCGCGACGCGAACGCGGGTCGAGAAGATCTACGACGAGATGGACGAACAGGTCCTCACTACGCGAAATCGGCCGCCCGATGCTGTCAAGAGCGCCGACAGTGCTCACGACTCGGTGATACACTTTGCGTAACTCGGATACTGACTCACCCTTCAGTTTTTGCAGCGACGTAAATTGAGCGAGGTATGAGCGCACCAGGAGTCGCTTGTTTTGGTAGTAGTCCGTCAAGGTCTTCCAAGCGCGCTCGAAGTTCTCGTCCGTCGTGGGCAGGCTGCGCACTAGGAGTTCCGCCTCCCCCTTTAAGCACGACTTCAGGTAGTGTAGCTTCTCAACTGGAGTCGTGGCGGCATCCTTCCCGATTATCGAATGAAATAGGTCACGGAAGGCGGGCCACTCTTCGTATTTGCCCTCGAACTCTGGCAGCTGAATGCGCGGCAAGGTCGTACGAGGCGGGTTCGTCCCGGCAGCGGCTGGTGCGGGAGCGCCTTCCGCTTTACTCTTGAGCTTGCGGAGCGTCTCGAGGAACATGCCCTTTTGCTGTATGTAAGCCTCCTCCGCGGTAGACGGCACGTCCTTCTTCTCGTAGTCATGATCCGCCAGGATCTCCCAGTAGCCGGCATATATTTTCTCGTGCTGCGCCTCGAATTTCGCCCAGTTGGACTCGAGGGCCTGCAAGCGCGCCTCCACCAACCCGATGGTAATATTCGGTGTTCCCACTTTCCTCAGGTTCTCGTACGAGCGAGCAATGCGCCCGTAGAGCTCATGTTGGCTGCGGATAAGTCCTTCCATCTCTCTATTCGTCTCCTTGGAGACAGCTCCTGCCATTTCCCGGGCGTTCTCCTTACTCATTGTCTCCCCTCAATGTTATTTGACGGAACGTGGAGGTAGGTCACTTAAGCACTCACTCACAGCCCGAGCGCAGGTCACAGAATCCGGCTCGAAGGACCATAAATGTTCGAAAGCGGACCGCGCGCGCGAGCGAGGAAACGAACCGCGGATAGGAGGAGACAGTTAAAGCGCAGAGTTAACGGACAATCACAGTTTATTCTCTATTTACACT